TAATTTAATAAATTAACAACCATTTTTGTATAATGATAATGATAATGATAATGATGATGATGATGATGATGATGATAATAGTGTGTGTATGTGTGTGTGTGTGTGTATGCGCGTGCGCGCGCGCGCGCGTGTGTGTGTGTGTGTGTGTGTGTGTACACATAACTATACATATTAATATTGAGCTAAAATATCTTAATTCAATATCTACAACTTCACAAAATAATATTAAATTAAAAAAAATAATATTTTATAACTTTCGAAGAATACTGAATATATAATTTGCGTTATACAAGTAACTAATGCGCTTATAAACACTTTGATTTTCTACTTTCAATTTATAGAGATTTTCCCTAAAGAATGAATAAAAATTTGAATTATAGAAGTTTTCAAGTTAGAGAGATTCGCGACTGTGTGTTATAAGTTGTAAGAGTTTCCTATAAATTAAATTTAACATGTTGAACTTTATTTGTACTGGCTAATATTAGAAATAATCATTATCTGAAGCTATATATTATAATAGAAAATTGAAAATAAAAAAAAATGTCGCGAAAAATTCTACAAACAAAACAAAAGATTAAAAAAGAAAAAAAGATGGTAATGAAATGGTTGTTTTAAAAGAGAAGACAGTTTTATCAGATTTAAAAAGAAAACCTACTCTCTCTTGAAAGATAACAAAAAACCACTTCAATGCATAGAGTATGGAATCGCAGCCACATTTGTCCATCTTCCGTTTCAGTTTCGGCAAAAATTTGTTCATTATCTTGTCATGGTGTTCTATAAAGCGATTTAACTTTGGAAACCCATCTACATAAAAGCCTGTAAAATATATTGTGCATAAAGAACTTCAATACAATAAATACTTATTCTGTCCAGAGGTTCATAAATATAGTTGATCTGACCTTTAACATTTTGAAGTATATTATGCATTTTTTTTCATTTATGATATATTTAGAAATCTGCGTAAAAAAATTTTTTCCTTATTTTTTATTTTCTTACCATTCATCCATATTCAGGAACCTATGGACAATTTTTAATCCTCTGATATTCTCTTTTATAGAGAACGTGATATTATCTAGAAAAGTATATCGTTAGAAAATTATTTTTGTATAGAAAAAAATCTAACCATGCATGCTGTATTTTTGATCGGCAAGTAACACAGAAAGGCCCCAAAATGCATCTTCCTCATCCATGTAAAGTAACAACAGGCCAGCTAATACAGACATTCCTTGACAATATCCTACTTCCATGTTATACATACTGTAGGCAGCCAATACGTAAAACATGGACTTTTGTTTTATACTATATCTCTCTCTGAAAAAGATAATTATTCCTTAATTTTTTTCAAACTTTCATGATTCAAAACACAAACATATTATTTTTGCAGTAATGTACCTATAGTTAATATGATCTCTGTATTGTCTGGCGACATCGGCATCAATCTGCCGTATTTCGGTAGACCATTGACGGGCTAGTTGCAGCATCTCTTCATATTTGCCGGCTTGCTCCTTTTTCAAATTTTTTACACCTAGAAGTAGGGCCCATACTTGACCACGAAATCTGTTAGGAATTCCTTTGTATATTCTACGACGCAATTTCTCCTTGGTTGAGGCACTGTCCCATTGCTTTGTCATTTTCTCCCATTTTTTCAGCCTCTCCATCTCCACATGATGCAATTTGATCTCGTATGGATCCGGCTTCTGTGGTAATCTTTTATCGCTGTGATAAGATAGGTAGTGATAGGTAGATGGTTATTCAAGATGATTAAATAGAAGAAATTATATATAAATTATATATAAAAATGCCATATGCATACTGTATGAATCCATATCTATCTGTAGTATGATAGACCTCATAGCCAGGATCCTCCCAGGGATCAATCTCAGCACCCTCCCGTCCACGATCATAGCAACTGAAAATCCTATCGCGCTCTGCGGCAGATCGTTTCAATAATTCTTCCTCATTCATCCCATGTAACAATGCGCAACCAGATTCTTACAAGCATGCCGTTACGTTAATAAATCCTCCTATCAGCATCCAGCTAAACAGCTTCATCTATAAAGAAATGTAAGATGTACATAATAACAAATGCAAACTGAAATCAGAACCTGATCACTGTCTGATTTGATTCTGTCAATACATAACCGAACTCGAGGCGTATTTACATATTAAAATCTCTATTAAATATTCACGTATTAAAAGATTCGGGAAACAATTAACATAAATAAAAAAGTGGAATACGTGTATGCGAGATTACATATATCTCATAAGTATCTTGTCAGCGTCTGTGCCACCTTCAACGTAACAGATTTCGTCATTAAACCGTCACATTGGCGGCTCGGTTGACTAGAAAATCCGTTATGGTTAAATTTGATGCTCGTCTAAGAAGTCGAGCAGGCGCGAAATAAATCTTTCTATTTTTACTAACTAGTACAGACAAAGTACACGACACAACATTTCAATTCTTTAGCCGCTCGGCTCTGCTCTTCCTCGAGGAAGATATCAGCGATCCCCCCTATTCTCCTTGCGATTCCAGCGCGATCTCACGGCGTCACTTAGGTTAGGTTAGGTTATGTTAAGTCCATAGACATAGTATAGATAGATTGAATTCGCATACACTTGATCGGAAAAAAGTTAAGATTTGTGAACCATCCAATTAATTGTAATTATTTATTTTTTTTTCATCATGTATTTGGTCGAAATAATTAATCGGAAATAAATGAAACTGATTTCTATGGAATCATTCGTATTTTGTATAAAAAGTTATGAAGCATCATTAAAAATGTATATCCAGATAATTTTAATTAAATATTTGAGTCATGTAATTGATCGAAATATAGATTTCAGTCCAGTTCTGCCAGACGCCATCGGCAGTCTCTAGTATTCCAAATTAAAATCTATATGATTTTTAAATGTTTAATTAAAATTATCTGGATGACTCGTTTTCAATGACACTTTATAATTCTTTATAGACTCGAAATCTAATATACGTAATGAATTATATATTTTCTGTACTAGCAGTGAATATCAGAACGTAGCCATAATAGTATTATATAGAGATGGATGTACGTATGTACTTACATATGTATATTACATAACAATCGAACTGATTCTAACCTGCAAGAGCCAACGAAATCGATCGATTAATGCTGCTTTTAAATCGTAAGAATTGATTCGTGTTTGCCTCAACTTACTTTGCTTATTTATCACGCTACTTTTGTCACGCTCTTTATCATCAAGACGTGCGATTTAGTTCGATCGTTTCTCGATTTCTTATACAAGCAATAGATCTGTTTTGTTATCAACAATGTTGTTATATTGAATTTGTTTTAAAGGCTCCTACAATATGTATGAAAAAAATTGCATAATTATATTTAAAAGATTCAAAGATTCAAAGATAATCTTGTTTTTTTATAAAATTTTTTTACAAGTTGTAATATTTCTTGCATGAAATAGATGAATATTCACCTTTAGCAAGCCTATTCTTTTTAGAATTACTTGTACGGTTTTTATTTCTTCTTTCTTTTCATGTTGGAAAAAAAAGAAAGAGATGCAGGAAATTTGGCTAAAAAGGATAGACCTAATAGCAAAAAACCTATGTAATTGCAATATAACTATAATAATCTTGTTAAAAGTTCTAAAAAGTTATAGACTTTTTTATAAGCCTACAATATAGAGTTTAGAACATTATTGATCTCATTTTTCCATCTAATGAAAATATATTCATGAAAATCTTGATAAATTTTCCAGTTTGATGGGGTCTGTCAACTTCAAAGCTATTGGAACCTTGATTAGGCGGAACTTGATCAGTGTGATATTCCCTACGGCTACAGTGTTATCAATTTACGCAGATTTGAAACACACAGCTCGCTGGAAACAACAACTCGCTGCACAACAGGAAAGTGAAATTGCAAAATATGGGTCTATCGCATAAACACATCTGGAAGATGTATTGGACACTTATCTTTCCTTTTGCTGGTTTTATGCTTGGTCATAAGATAGACAAGATGGAAACGAACCGAATGACAATGTTTAGAGATAAATCAGCATTGTATGGTAGAGAGTTAAAGCCTGGAGAATCTCCTTCCTGGCCGTATTAATTCTATCATTATATATCACTGAACTTAAATTACAGAAATTAGTCCTTATGTAAGTTAATAAATAAATACAATGAATTACAAAAGTTATAAAATATCTTTTTAATATATATATATGTATAGTAATTTAAATTAATGATGAAATATATTTAAGAGCATGTATATGTAATTTATTTTTTAATAACATAATTTGATAAATATATATAG